TGAATATTAATTATTTTCCAGCTTCCTTTACATTTATTACTAAATTGCTCAAAAAATGGTTGAGACGTCCTGTTTTGTGTTAGTTCCTTAAAATTAATTCAAGGACGTACCATTATAATGGTCATTCCTTTATAGCTTTTGGCAAAAAAAGGTCTAACAGTTTGATCTGCTGGTAGCTGGTCAGAGACCCAGCTGCATTTGGTATAGTCAGACTCAGACCAACCTGGGTTGTATGTCTGAGAAATAAAACAAAATTTTTTCCTGCACTAGTTAGATGGTTAATGGGCGCTAAGCCTGCGCCATATCACATCGCCCATGATATACCGGTACAATTCCTCCCCATGATAAGAATTTGTCATCCCACAATACTGACGATATGACATGTTTATGCACCACAACATTGGCATCTCACACGTAGAACGAGAACAAGCATGGCTGAATCCAGAGTTCCAACCTTAGTACAATGTTTAAGAATAAAGTCAGAATTGGTGTTTACATGAAAGGTCGACCAATTGATCGATTTTCCCAATTAAACGGCACCAATAACAGATTGCTGGAACTATCGGTTATCTGCAAAAATCCACATCAATAGTTTTTTCCAGTTGTGTCCATTACAGGAGCGGCTGAGAAGGGTCATACAGTACAAGAGCGTCCACTAGAGGCGCGATAAAAACTATCACTGACAAATTTTGTTGTGTTATTTGCAGTGTTTTTAATGCATTTTGGATGTCTCTATTGTTATTTCTTATTCGAAGTGCTACTTTTTGGTTCAGTTTAGATATGTAGCTTTTATTTACTTTAATATTTATTAATAGTTTAGATGGTACAGGCAATACTGTTTATTTTTTTAATAAAGTTCAGCAATATTTTACCTTGAGTGTTATGTTTTCATTCAGTATTAATTTTAAAAACTATCGGCTGATTAATCGGTTATTGGAAGCTACCAACTTATATAACTAGAATATAACTAGTTTACATTTCAAACTTGAACTTCATTACTGAATTTATATATGGTTTTGATGTTTTGCAGCATAGTTTAAAGCTTGTTAAGTTTGCACTATTTAAATATTACGTGCACTTTTACAGAATAAATGTTTTTTGTTGTTCTTTTTTTTTTACAACATTTTCATTTTTCCCCTAGAGTTAGATTATGAATTGTGCAAGTATTGTCTTGTTTGCATTTTCTTGGGAACTTTAATTTGTGAATAAAATCCAAATTTTTTGAAGCCTACTTAACTGCTATAGTTTAGTATCTGATGAGGGTCAGGGTTACTTTCAAATCAATGCGTGCATGGCTCTCGAGACTGCATGCTGATGTGACCTGTGGCCAAAAAGACAGTGTTGAACATTACTATTTTCATATCACTGCCGCAAAAAAAAAATCATAAAAAATACCATGGAATATCGTGATCTAGTTTTAAGTCTATATCGCCCGTCTTAAAAAAGGCGCAGGCTCCTAAATGCTCTGACAGCAGGAACATGTGCAGGATGATGCCTGATGCGTCATGATATCAAATGACATAAGCAGCATTAAGGTCATGCTGAATATGACTAACCCAGAAAAGAAAACAACAACAACAACAACAAGACAACATGTTTGGGATCTACCAGTATCAACAAGTACTTGACCTCAGCCTATGACATACTGCGAAGAGAAACGAACCTAGGCGTGAGGTCACACTGCGTTCACACGGTGTGATGTTGAGCACATCTGTGCTGTTAGAAAGAGTGTGCAGTTCTTCCAGGTGAAGCAGCTCGGTGCTCATGCTGCTGGCTGAAAGATGCTGAGCGTGACAGTGCATTTGTGAAGCGCAGTGTTAGCTGTTTGGCTAGATTGTGTTGTTCCCTGCAAAAATAATAATAATAATAATAGTAATAATAACAAAAAATAATAATAATAAAAAGGAGGGAAGGGGAGGGAGGGAGTTAAGGGGGAAAACTGTCTTTGTCTGCACATTATTCTGCTACAATGTATATCATGAAGCACATCATCACCCTTAAAGCATCAACGGAAAGCATCTCAACGCACATGTGTTCCAGGTACATCCTCAAGCATGCACATCTGGAAGGCTCCGTTTAAGTTGCACTTTGGAAACATTCCCACCCTTACACCGCGACTCCCGTGTATACGGCTTCACCGTTGACCAAGTTGTAAAGTGCGCTTACTCACCTTGTGCGCCTTCGTCCAGACCGCGGTCTTGGGTCCTATCCGAGCAGAAACCTGTAGGCGAAGGGGAGGAAAAAAAAAAAAGAACAGAAAAAAAAAAAAAAAAAAACCTCCCCGCAAAAAAAATTCCGAAACATCCCGCAGCGCCATCCAGCGCCGCGTCAAAACACGCCGTGTTCTCGCGATAATTCTTCCCGTTTTGTGTTTCTACTGTGTCCGACTAGTAAGCAAGCCGGGTACACCACTGTGATGGTTAGTACTGTATGTAGGCATCGTGTTGAGTGCGGTAGTGGTGTGGTGATCGGTTTGGTTTCGAGTATGCGGTTTGGGATGGAGCTCAGTAAGCTGACGCCATCATTTAAACCGCTTTCTGCCATCTAGCGGCTTGTGTGTGAACTGCACGTCAGGGCATGACGTCATCCACCTTTTCTCTCGATTTGGCTGTTGTGGTGAGGATTATTAAGCCTTTCTTTTTTTTACGTGTTCATCGGGAAAGCTTTATTCTTTTCTCTCTTTTTTATGTCTCTCTTTTTTCAGTGCAAAATAAGTAATACGTTCTCCACATGCTTCAGGGTTTTTTCCCCCCCAGCTACGTCCAGCATTGTAGGCTGATTACCATTTACAAATTGTCCTTAAAGTGTGAATGTGTGCGCAGTTGTTCCCTCTGATGCTCTGGCAAGCCATCCAGGGTGTTCCCTGCCTTGTGCCCCAATTTCCCTGGGATAGACTCCAAATTAAGTGTAGATTAAGTGGTACAGAAAATGTATGGGTGGACACACTGACGTTATTATAGGCCTAATAATTAATTATATCTTGTGTCTTTGAGATTCAAGTTACCTTTTTTTTCTTTCGTAAAAGGGTACATTTCCTCACTTTAAACATATGATATGTTTTCTATGTTCTATTGTGAATCTATGTTCTGTTTTTATTTACATTTTACACAGCATCCCAATTTTTTTCATTGGAATTGGGGTTATATATCTTGCTGGGGACCAAATTTCCCCACGAGGATAGTAATATCTGACAGTTTTGACCTTGTGGGGAGATTTGGCTGATTCCCATGATAAAAACTGTGTTTTTTATGCCCAAAAACAAAACAAAAACAAATAGGGCCAAAAATGTTTCCTTCTGGTTCTTGATTCATAAGGTTAATGTTAGAGTTAGCTTTAGATGAAACAATTAATTGTGTCAGTGGACAGTCTTCTCAAATGTGTGTGTGTGTGTGTGGGTGTGTGTGTGTGTGTGTGTGTGTGTGTTATAATGAATGATTCACCACAGGCTCCCATCCCTGTTCCTGTAGCACACCCTGCCCTGCACATTTTAGTGTTTTCCCTGTTCTAACACACATGACTCAATTAATTGATTGGCTAATTAACAGCCTCCCTGAGTTGAAGTAGGTATATAAGAGAAGGGAAAACACTAAGATGTGCAGGACAGGGGGGCAATTTAGGACCAGGGTTTACAGCTCTATTAGTCTGTACTGAATGGAGAGATTTAGAGCCGGTGTGATTCTTGATGCATTGGACCACTAATGACAAAAACAAACAAATAATTGAAAAAATAATCTCGAAAAAATTTTTTATAGAATTTTATAGAATTCCTTTCATTTATGTATTGAAAGATCATTCACAGCAATGATTACAAGGTTTCTGGCATGTCCTGATTTTTTATTTTGACATTTTTAGGCAAACTTATATTATGAAGTGGCGCAGCTTAGTTATGTATAGTAAATAGCTGTATTTACATCTCATTTGTTCATTACCATACAATGTTGAAATGTATTGGCTGTTGCCTTCATAGCTGCCAATACCCAAGAGATTTGGCAAATATTTTCAAGACTACAATAATGATTTAAGTTGACATGAGCTAGATATTAGCCTGCATGAATCAGCAGAACATGGATCTCAGAGGTCTTCAGTCTCTGGTTCAGAGGGGATGGGTTCCAGGGCGGTCAGGGGAATGTAGCTGGGCTCTTCGCTGCACACCCAGCCAATGGGAGTACGGTTAAAAGATGGTCGAGAGTCGATGTGACACTGGAACACAGGAAGTTGCTCTGGCTCTTCAGAAGCAGCCTTGAGCTCAGGGATCTCGAAGGACAACAAGTGAGAAGCCTTGTCGAATCCTCCAAAAGGCAGGGCTGTTCTATAAGAAAAAGCACAGAAAATGGTTTACATTTAACTCTAATTAGAAATCAAACCACTGCTGAGGATCATGTTTTGTATGATCCTTCAATTTCTTGTTCTCAATTCTTAGTATGTACCTATTGAAACTCTTGTATTGGGGCAGATCCTTGTACACATGAGGTCCTGGCATTTGTGGCTTCATGGTGGCTTTGAGCTCATCATTGTCTTTCATAGCATGTTCCCATGGTGAGACATATGTTTTAACATACTCGCAGCTCTTCTTCTCCTTCTCAGTCTCAGGTTCTACTTCATTTGTTAAAAATAATAATAAGGTGAAAGTATCACATGACATAGTAAATCATTTATTAACCATATAGGACAGTACCAGTTATTATGTCAAGCATAAGATGTGTCATAAATTCACTGAAAAGGTATGTAGTTTACCTTTTGGTGGACTTGGTTTTGGGAGGGTCTCAGGTGGGGTCTTTTCACAGTTTGTAGGAGGTGCTAGGTTCTGGAGGTTTTGCTGGAAAATGGCCAGAAAGAAAAAAGCTAATTTTTTAAAGCTAGTATGAGGATTATAATAATCATAAAGGTCTACATGAAAGGCAAGGTAACCCTTTCAGCATGAGCGATTCAAAGACAATTATATGTTATACTCTGCACGTCTAGTCAATTTTCTCCATTTTACAGGACATACTGTACATTCAGGGTGCATGGTGGTTTAATGGTTAGCATGTTCGCTTCACACCTCAAGGGTTGGGGGTTTGATTCCCTCTGCTGCCCTCTGTGTGCGGAGTTTGCATGTTCTCCCTGCGCTCAGGTTTCCTCTGAGTACTATAGTTTCCTCCCCCAGTCCAAAGACATGCATGGTAGGCTGATTGGTGTGTCCAAAGTGTCAGTAGTGTATGACTGGGTGTGTGTGAATGTGATTGTGCCCTGTGATGGATTGGCACCCCATCCAGGGTGTACCCCACTCCAGGGTCCCCGTGACCCAGTCGGATAAGCGGTATAGAAAATGGATGGATGGATGGACTGTACATTCAATTCTTTCTTTGTAATTCTGTCCTACAGAGTCTCTGTTCTCTTGAGCAGGCTTACCAGATTCTCAGTACTGATAATGAACTTATCCACTCTCTGCTGCCTCATTCTGAACATCGTAGAGCCTTTGCCTTTCATCAGAGACAGCTCCTCCAGCATCACTTCCTTAGGCGTCTTAATCTTAGTCCCGAGGTCAAACTCAGTGACATCTGTTTCTTCTTTCTCTGGGAATATTTTGGGGAAAATGGGGTTCAATAATGAAAACAATAATAGCCAAAAAACAGAAAATAAATCACTTCCTTTGGAAGTTCTAGCTTGAAGGCTCTCAACCTGATGGGTGAATAGCTACTGAGTCTGAACAAAGCCCAGACTGCCCATGATGTCCAGCAGTGTGCGTAAGAACATACAGTAATTCACAAAAGCCTTTAAAGCTAAGAAATGCTTAAAGTGTAAGATATATTTCTTTTTATTCTGCAATAAAAGGATCTGATCCATTATACAGGACCAATGGAACACTATTGTGTCATCAAGCAGCTCTATTTATTCATTCTCCTGTGTGAAATCAGCTATAAACCTTGGAGTCATGCCATAGCTGATGCCAAAGACAAGGATGCTGTGCTGAGTGTTGTATAAAAATATATATCGTTAAATGTGATTTAGCTGTGCAAACATCCACAAATGAATATAGCATATACTGCTTTGTAAATTTTACAAAAAAAAAAGTTACAGTGGAATATTAATATTATGAAACATTTCCAGAACAAATTAAAAGGTGCTTCACAAGCTCATGCTAGGTGTATCTGGCTTTAGGCTATGCCACCTTGGGACCACTGCTATATAAATCCACTATATAAACCCACAAATGGCTTGTTGTCAGAAACGGCCTATGTTTTAGGTTGCATGGACAGCTGCCTAAGCCCCTGGCATGGCTCTTCTGTGTGTGTGTGTGTGTGTGTGTGTGTTTTTATTGGTATCATTTTATTAGTATCTTTATTGTTATTGTCCCCAAGTTACTCTGTGCAGGTTTAACCGCAATGCTGACTGTGGATCTGGTTCTGGATTAGCAAGCAGAAGGCTGAGTTCCACTGTAAGTCGGGCCATACAAAGGTTTTTTGTGGCCAAAAATGGTTGATTTTGATGCGGGTTTTTTAAAAATGCAATTTGCAGAGATTTTGGGGGGGTTTGCAGAAAGTTACTTGAATTGGTGAAATCTGAATTGCACGAAACATTAAAGAGCCGTCATTACATTTACCCATGGGCATGAGTTATACACACCATTCTGTGTGTGCCAAAACCACCTCTGGTGTTTATTGCCAAAAGCTCTATTTTGGTTTCATCTGACCATAGAACCTGATCCCATTTGAAGTTCCAGTAGTGTCTGGCAAACTGAAGATGCTTTTTTTTTTTTGAAGACGAGGTTTTTTTTTAATGGATGAGAGTAGAGGATTGTTTCCTCAAACCCTTCCAAACAACTTGTGGTGATATAGGTGACTTCGGATTTTAGTTTTGGAGACTCTCTGACCCCAAGATGCAACTAACTTCTGCAATTCTCCAGCTGTGGTCCTTGTTTTGCACAGTCTTTCACAATGATGTTTGTTGTTAAATGAGAGTTTTTAGCTGTACTCATGTTCGATGCACTTGAATCGAAGAGGTGGTGATCACATGATCACATGACACGTCTTAGCCCAAATCTGTGATAATGTAGAAAAATTGTAAGCTCCTCCAAATTTTGTGGAGTTTGATGGATTTTGCGTTCCTTTCTGAGATCACAAACTTAGAAATCCTGTGGGACTGCTACATCATTTTGAATATAAGCAACTGCCAAATACATGTATGTACATTTAAGTGGAAAAGTATAAGCCTAACTGAGCAAGTTAACGGAACTGCAGTTAATTTAATATGAGTGTCCTAGATAGCTAGTTAAGCTACTGTATGTATTTTGGATCTTGATAGTTTGGTTATGTTTACACACAGAAGAGCAGTTTGACTCAGAAAGGTGTGGTCGAACAAATTTTATACCCTGGCTTAACTGTAGAAGTTCTTGTATCTACCCTGCTGAAACATCCAGCTAATTCTGACCAGCTCCCAGTCACTAAAACACAGGCTAAGTCAAGCTGGTAGTGGAAACAGTTTCTGAATATCTGCTACTAATGCTACATCATGGAAAGTTGTTTGTAAGACGCAGTGAGGGAATACATTTTTGGCTAGTTACTAGCTAATACTGTGGACTCCACAAAGTAACTGCACTGTACTTCAGTAACAATAGTGGATATAGTAAAAATGAAATTTAGTAAAGTTTACAGAGAAATAGGATATTCATCAGCTGTGCAGGCAAAGTGCTTCTTAGTTTCACAGTAGTTAGCATGCTATTTAGGAAAGAAACTTTAGTAACTTTAGTAAGAAACTTTAGCAACCCGTAGCTTGTTTTAAAAATTGAACTGGATTAGTGGAATCTTTTTGCTCAATAAATAAACAAACAAGTGCAATATTTTTTTGTCTCATTTGCTTAATTGGGTTCTCTTTGTCTACATTTAGGACAAAGAATAATCTGAAAAATTAAGACAAATTAAAATCTGATTATTTTTTTTTAGGTCAAATTTATGCAGAAATATAGAAAGTTTTAAACTTCACAAACTTTCAAGCTCCACTTTACAGCATCTACAGAACACCTCGGGTAAGTGTAAAGAGAGGACGGGTTTAAAGAGTTGAGGCAATGTGAGTGAAAATGTGCTAGAAATCACCCGCTCATTTCCTCCCCCATCACAGTGGCAGTAATATGTCAGATAATTTAGATGCGGGTGAAAGGAGAGCTGTGTGTGTTGACACTATAGGACCCACGTTGTCCTGTAAACAGGACAACAAGTCATTATGAGTACTGAGTCCAGCTGATGAAGTGGGCACATTCGATAGCATTAATCAGCCTCCAGACACTCAACCTCTCACACAGAATTGCTCATTAGAGGTCAAGAGTGGAACATCTCCCTCCATATCTCTCTCTAATTCACACACACAAGCACAAACACATACGTACAGTGACAGCATCTCGGAGATCATTTTGTTTATGTTTTTATTAAAATAACTGGTGGACAAAGCTCATATTAGACCAACTCCTTGTTTTTTTTCCTTTCAGACAACACTTGCATTATTACTTGTTTCCAACGATCTGAATATGATGTTTCTGTACTGGAATAATTTTTTTTTATATAGATCTTTCAAACTGCAGTAGTGTTGGACTTGCTTTAGGAAGAACTTCAGCATTATCTTGGATCATTATATTTACACTGTGACGCACAGTTGGGCCGAGTGATTATTCCAGTCTCCTATACAGTATGGGTGACACACAACTACAGAATGTAGCTCTTATTATGCTGCAGAATGACAGAACATCTGTCTGATTCAATTCTTTATATCCAGACAATTAGCTGTGCTCTGAACAAGAAATTATGAAAATTGTGCCTGATTTCCTACAAATAAATTCTCTTGGGAAGTAACGCACAGCTCTCACACTGCTTAACAATTCACTTAACCTTTGTAGGTAAAGTTAAGAAAGTTAAGGTAAGGGGTGAGGTTAAAGTTAAGACCTTTTAAGGCTTAATTTTTGTGGAATTAAACAAAATCTGACCATATGGCCATATGAAAGATCATTCAAATTTGTACACACTGTTGTTCTTATTACACAGTATATGTGCATAAGACATACATAACATAAAAACCTACAGATACTGTATACTGACCATTTTGTGTGATGTTGGAAAGGTCAGTAATGATTTTACAGGGCTTTTTCTTTGTGTTGGGAGGAGCTGGTGTTCCTGAGCGGGGCATCTCTACAGCCTGTAATGGGAAGAATAGAACACTGTCATGTTTTATCTTAGCCATATTGCCTTCATTGTTGATTTCATTGACACTGCTGTCACCATTGATGGCAGTTCTGCAATGTATTAAATAAACTTATTGATCTCTACATAATACATCATTTTGTATGCAAAGTAAACCTAATAAAGGCATAATAAGCATTAAAGACAGCTATTCCATTGCTATTTTTGAAGGCTTAACACCTTTAAAATAATTGTGAGAACTCACAGGGTGTGAAAGACTGAAAGGAATTTAGGCCACCTTGTAACTTAATCATCACCAGATATTTCTGGCTATGTTTAAAGAGCAGGTATGATTACTGATAGAGAAAAAAAAGCATCATCTTCAAGCAGCTATTGACTTTTATTTTCTTTCAAATAATTTTGCTCTTTTTTTTTTCAGTGGATGATGTAATACGGTATAGTGTGATATATAAACAGTTCCAATATGTAAAGGAGAAGGCTAAGGAAAAGTATAAACAGGTCTCTTGTTGCGGTGAGGGTATTTCTGTTTCAGCCACCTAAATCAATCCAGTACAGCCAGAGGAGTGTGGCCGGCTCAGCAGATTCCTCAAATGTCATGAGCCACTGCACCAGTGCATCTGTGATTTTACTGCTGAGCAATTAAGAGGAACATATTGGTGTAGTTTTTTGAGCAGGAATGTTTGTGCATTGTATTTCACATGCAGAGCAAGTGTTGTTCATGAATGCATGTAGAATGCTAATCATTAAATGATTAATAAATGTTAACTACACCAAAGTACAACTTTTTACATTGAGGGATCCATTGAGCTTTAAAATATGCTCAGACTACATTTAGTTCAGATTTGTTTCAATGAACATAATCCAAGTACTCAAATTTTAGGCTCATTAATTAAATGTTATGATGCTATT